TCGTTGAATGCGCTAGAGGGACGTTACACATACGCTGACCAACGTTGACCAATGCTACAAGCGCGCTACCAACCAGTTATCAACGCGTTTGGGGCACGCAAGGGGTACGCTAGCCCTCCAACCAGCATGTCGCCAGCGTGTGAGTAGTGGGTTGGTAACGATCGTCTAGCGCGTTCGATGCGTGAGTAACGACCCTTCAGCGTTTGCCAGTGTGTGCAGTCACACGCTGGCAAACGCTGGAAATTTCAGGTATGTTGAAAAATGTGACAGCGTGTCCCAGCATGTGAGTAACGCGCTCAGCATGTTGCTAACGCTGGCCTAGCGTTGGTCAGCGTTTGCCAGCGTGTTGCCGAAATTCTAACACGGTTACTCACGCGTTGGCCTAAAACGTTCTGGTGTGACAGGCCCATTATCAATAACAGTTGGTGTATGGACAATAGAGTGCTTTTACGGTCCCCGAATTAGAAATGCTCACCATCAAATGTCGACCTTATTATATGCCTCGCAAATTCCAGTCTCTAATTCTGACTGTAGTATACAGCCAGCGTCATGACACATGATGACGTCATCATTATGAAAATCGTCGGGGACCGTCTTCGGCTGCTGGTCTAAGTGTCTGCCAAGTCTTAAGTCAGTCAGACATACGAAAGTGTCAGTGTATGGTTTGAAGAAAAACGTGTACAAAACCTGCCTGTAGAGAAAATATGCACCTTTAATGTGACGTAACGTCATTGTGACAAAATTCTTCTGGTAGAAGAAAAACGCGTACAAACCCTATGGACAAAAAGTGGAAAAATAAGGGGGGGGAAAATAATAACCTTAACAAAAACAGCTGTTTTGGAAAATTTTGGAAACAGCTAACAAGTTAACATAAAGGTACACAGGGACACAAACAATAACTTAAGCAGATGAGGTCACAAGCACATTACACATAACCAAATTTTTCCTAAAAAGGAATGTTTCGAGTATAATTACCAACATAAAAACAGAAGTTCAGCATGACATGTAGACCTAAGCAGAATATCTAGCGTTTTGGTGCAAGGTAGTCCTACACGGTACTAGACTCTATGTGAATGGCGGTGTAGCCATTGAGATTGGCTAAATAACAGTGGCTACTCGTGTGAGATGTATAAGCAAATGACATTTTTACTGCAACTTTTTAGCATATGTGTAAAGATCACTTTAATATGGCAAACATTTACTAATTTTGAGATTATATATCAAAACAATCTGCACCACCAAAAACTAAGTAAGGGGAGTTTCAGCCGAAAAAAAGAAAAGAAGCAGCTCCACCCTGTGTGTTAAAAGCCAGAAAAAGGCCAGAAGCAAAACAAAAGCCAGAAGCAAAACAAAAGTTGGGAGCATCTACTACAAGCCCATTTTGATGACGTTAAGCTACGGCTCTACAATCAAACAACTGTTTTGTGCCATACTCTTACTTGCAGATATAGTGAATGCACTACACACACATTGATTAACAATTCACCATTTAAAACCATTTTGCGCATATAGTGAATGCACTACACACACATCGATTTCATTAACAAATCACCATTTAAAACCATTTAGACCTATTGTCTCACAGCGCATCTGGTTTCGAAGAATTGAGGAAGGAGGCTAGAGTCAAAGGTTTTACAAAGATGTTCTCCCTTGCAGAATTAATAAAATGTTGGCAACCTTGAGAATTCAATGACAAAACTTGTTTAGTGTTGTGGAAAACAGGACAAGCAAGCCTTCATTTTTGTGGGAGTTTAACAGCCATATGGTGACAAGCAAATGGGCTATTTCTGTTTGCTGCCCTCATGAAAGTAATTTTCCATTCTGAGCAATCTGCACAATACTTGTACTAACAAATATCACTCTTCATAAATGCGGAAGAGAGATGCCCTTTTCTTGATAACAGGTATATTGGTGTAATAGTGGACAAGTAACTGACAAAAAAAAATACACACATTTTTTTATGGGTAATTAGGCAAAGTGACTGAGCCTTAAAGACATCTTTTGTTTCTCAATTTAAAAGAAGATTTTAAATGAAAATGATCTTAAATAAATTGATTTATCATATACCATTTTGTTTGTAACTTCTAAACCTACCAACTTTGGAGGAGACATTATTCACCAGATGAAAAAAAACACTAGATGAGAGCAGAAATTGTTTGCCCTGTTCAGAGGCAACATTTGTTACTTGCCAGTTTTCAACACTTTGTGGCAGTGTTTAAACAGTGGTTTAAAACCACCCACTTGACTGACCCTCACCCATTATTGGTGGGTAAACTGTCTCGGGTATATTTATGTGCAAAAATTAAAAATGCACCAGACTTGATTCCTTACAATATGTTTGCCTTGTATACGGTACCACTGCTATACTATAAAGAAGAAAGGGTGTGTGTGTGTGCGTGTGTTCACGAGTTGTTCACAAGTTGCTGGACTGCGAAGCGGGCGCTCGCCTGCAAAGCGGGCAAGAGGCAGGCAAAGCCGCCTCCCTCACATAGCAGGTGAAGCAAAGCCTCCTTTTAAAAAAAAAACTTTTTTGTTTAAACAAAGCTGTAGTCTTCGAGATAGGCGATCTGGTCCGCCGAATGTTATAAAACTTTCCAGACATGTAGATTATGATGTACCTTATCAAGAAAACTTTGTTCTCGATCCACAGTTTGTTTGAGAATGAGAAAATCTGGGATAAAAATGCCGAAAATTCTGCATGAGGGAAAAAAACATAAGAAACAGTGCCCTCTATTGACACAGTCAGAAACCTTTTCGTACGCAATGAGTGCTTGCCAGATGAAACTTCTTTCATGTTTCATATTAGGCCAAAAAAAATAATACTCGGTCTCTGGTCAGCGCGCGCGTCGATTTTAATCATGCGCGTCAACTTTTTTTTTTTCAAAAGCTACAACAGCGCCCTCTATTGCCGCACCTCCTCAAATTTTTGTACCAAGGAGCACCAAGGAATGGGGAAAATTGCACCAAGGCAAATGATAAAGGGCACCAAGGTAAATTAATTTATTATGGAGGACACCAATGTATAATGAGGACATAAAAAAAGCAAAATAGTACCCATCTTGTCTATATTTAAGCTTGAGAAAAAAGAAACAAAAAACGCGTCGCCGCATCAATTCCGGAACTTCGGTCTGACCAGAGACCGATTATTTTCCTTTTTTTTGGCCTTATATGCATATTCTAGATTTTTGTTATTATTTCTCATCAGGATGCCAAACCATTTTCATTACAGTTTGTCCAACTTGAAATAACCAAGTTTTAAGATCGAATGTTATGTATTACCTACATAAAGCTTGATTTGCATAGTTAAACCATTTCCCAGAACAGAATCCCAGGGTAACATCTTTCAGTTCTGCTCCCACCTTTTTTTTCCGGGGGGGGGGGGGGGGGAGGATTGGTCAAAAAGAAAAATAGCCAATAAATGAAGGGTTATGTCAGACTTCCCCCCCCCCTTTCAATATCAGTGACGCAAAATTTCAAAAAAGGGATTATATACATGTATCAGATAAGCTGAACCGTCTTATTACAAAACCACTCAAAAATGACATCTAAAGTTCTCATACATGTACTTAGGTTGATTTTATTTTTGTTTACACTTGCATTGTAAAGATATAAAAAAATGTCTCATAAAAATAAAGAGGGCAATAACTGCAAATACAGTTTTGGTATTTTATATTGCAGGTACAATGTGGTTTAAGTAATCACCAAAAGAAATACTATTTGATTAATTTTATTTCATTTATTTATTTACTTATTTAAAATTAAAAAAATTGGGGGGGGGCAATTTAAACCCACAGTTTTTACCCACACATGAAGAATGGTTTTAACTTGACATAATTTTGTTCAATCTGTACTGAATGAGCATTATTCGTTTATTTTCAACTGACAAAACGAGCTATATAAGCACCTGTATACATCACAGGCTGATTACATAATTGTTGTATAACATGTCAAAAGTCTCATCAAATTGAAGGACCCACTTTCTGTGTGCAAACTCTTTTAAGAAGAGAAAATTAATTTATATTCCCCTATTTGGAAGTTTTGAGTGACAGCATTACAACTACAATTTGTTAATTCAGCTGAACCGTATTACCGTTTTTATTGTTTTGAATATTTATTGTTTTAAGAACTGATTCATGTTTTGTTGTTGCTCCATCCATACCGTGAAAACCATTTTAAAAAAACAACGGCCCACCCGCTTACTTTTTTGAGGCTGCATCAATTTTTATTACTTTTTTTTTTTACTTTGCATTACATTTTGTAAAAGATGTTTCAGAATTTCAGATACTTCACCAGATGCCACGCACTTCTATTATTGTTGAAAAGATATTACCCTGAGATGAGAGTTCACAAAATTATTCTGATCTGGGGTTTAACCATACCAATCGATGTTTATGTTGGTAATACATAACATTCGATCTTAAATTTAAAACTTGATCATTTCACGTTGGACAAAACTGTAACGAAGATATTTTGGCATCCCGATGAGAATAACAAAAATCTAGAATATAAAATGAAAGAAGTATCATCTGCCAAGCACTCATTGGCCGAGCTCGGGCGGGTCTTGTTCTTGACACGGGCATATTATTCTTGCAAAACCCCGATGGATAGGTGGTGTGAGATCCCGTTCCGAGTGCAGTGGTTGTGGGTCGTGTTCCTGCCATTCCAGTGCGAGAACAATAAAAATACTTGTGTCAAGAACAGACCGCCCGAACTCGGACGACCATTGCGTGCGAAAAGGTTTCTGACCATGTCAATAGAGGGCGCTGTTTCCTATGTTTTTTCTCATGCTGATTTTTTCGGCATTTTTATCCCAGATTTTCTCATTCCCAAACAAACTGTGGATCAGGGAACAAAGTTTTGTTGATAGGGTACACCACAATCTACATGTCTGTGAAGTTTAATAAAATTCGGCGAACCAGACCATGTGGCAAGCCAAAAAAAGGCCTCGTCCCACGGACTATGTAACTTGATTGTTAACTTTCTTTCTATCAATTGCTCAGGTGCTTGAAGTACATGTATTTGAATTGGGATGTCTTTCAAGAAAGGGCAGTGGTATGTTCAACTCAATCTAAGGTGTGTTTTACATTTAGCTAGTTAATTGTTTAATCATTTATTAATGCAGTTGGTTTTACATGTGTTTGTCTGTCTGTTGACAGTTGTAATGATTTTTTGGTTGGAACAATGTACTGATAGTAAACTAGATTTACTTATGTTTGTGTACAAATACACGGCTGTTTCGGTAATTTGTTATTGTATGTTTATGTCATGTCAGACTGATAGGACAACATGTGCGGTAGAGTGATCAGGACCGATACAGTTCTGTAGATATTGGCCTTCAAAATATGCACTTTTAATATGCCTTCACATGTCACGTGATGACCTCATCATGACGTCCTCATCATGACGTCACTTCAATTATCATCTATAACATATCCCGGTTTAGGTACATACCAACTTTCAACCCAATTGGACATGTTATTCTGTAGATATAGGCCTTAACACTTTACCTTTTAATATGACCTCATACGTCACGTGATGACGTCATCGTGACGTCAGTTAAATTTTCATCTATAACACATCCTGGTTGAGGTACACACCAAGTTTCAACACAAAAACCCATAATTTTTAGGGCATTACCGTAAACACACAATTTTTTTCCCGGCCTAAAGTGCTTGTTCTTGCCCATTTTCAACTTAAAAATTAAAGTTCTCAGCCTAATACTTCTTCAGACATCAGATGGCTGTTGGAAGTTTGAGCCAAAAATGAACTTGTTAGATTTTTTAGCATTAGAGTTAGAGTTTAGAGTTAGCGGAAACAGTCGCATACTTATTGCCAATGTTTATTTGAGTGAATGAGCTTGGCTTGCAGCATAAATGTTGGAAAAAATTGCACGAATAGACCTGCATTTTCCCTTGACATTTAAGTAGCCGTAAGCAGTTTCCACAAAGATATTGTTCATGTGTTGAATTACACCGTTACACTACTGTCCAGAAATATTGAACTTATTTATAACTAAAAATTTTTTAGATGAAGACCCTCAAGGATTATTTTTTTTTATGAAAAAAGTCATATAATACACCTTAATGCAGTATGAACATCAATAACAAACGCTGTTTCATTGCAGTTAGTTGCACAACGCGTACTTTTTTTCCAAACAATATTTTTCTCAAAGTTCCACGATACTGTCGTCTTTCTCATGGCATGCCATCAAAATAAAATAACCTACGGGAAATTTTGTTTTTACTGTGAAATAGATAAACTGCCCTTCAACATTGTGTTATATTATATCTTAAAGGGAATATACATCATTTGCTTTTGCTGTAATTTTCAGAAATGGATGGAATTGGGGGTTTGGAAATATATAGCAAATATAGTTACACTGACTTTTTTGAGGTTTTGGGTTCGAAAATGCTATAAAAACCAAGAAAAACAATCATTTTCCTGTAGTCTGGTTCCCTGACTCCATATAAGAAGAAACAGAGCAGTTTACATACATTGGGGAATTGTAAGGTCAGGGAACCAGTCTAGCTGGCTTGTACCCGTTCATAGATGTGTAATCGATTGCAAACAAGTGCGATGGTCAATTGGGGCCAGTATTTGAAAAAAAGCCATTTTTTTTCCAATGCTGGTCGGCCGACCAGCGTTGGAAATTGATACAAAAATACCACTTTCTTGAAAATGACAGTAAACCAGGTGCCATGATGTTACAGGATGCTTTACACTGTCATTCACTAACAGTCCAGCAAGGTATTTCAAAATGATTTGGTAGTTTTATTTTTTGATGTTTGCAAATGTTGTATTTTAATTCCCTTTAAAATATCAAATTGGGGGTTATTCCTCATGGTGCAATACTGACTTAATATTTTGGCATTTGCTGTATTTAATTCAAAATTCTGGTTTTAACCGCGTAAGTTGTTGAATGTAGTCACTCATAATGCATTGAGATTCGCTTGCAATGTGTGATGTCATCGAAAAATGCTTGAAATTTCACATAAAACTACCATTTAGAAAAGTGTTTTTCTTCTTTTCAGCCATTCCCCATAGCATTTGTACATGTTTTAATCGTGGAAGGCACTTTGCACTAAAATCAATCCAATTGCCTTTATACTCGGCACACACTTAGACCAGCATCTGAAGATGTGTGCCGAACATTGACGTCATCGTGACGTCATCACGTGACCCGTGACGTCACAATATAGGTGCATATTTTGAAGGCCTATATCTCCATAACTACAGGTAAGATTGGGCTGAATCTTGGTGTGTACCTAAACCAGGATGTGTTATAGATGAAAATTTAAGTGCCGTCACGATGATGTCATCACGTGACATGTGGTATTATATTAAAAGAGCATATTTTGAAGGCCAATATCTACAGAACTACAGGTCTGATTGTTTTGGTTTGCCTTGTTTGTTGTTTGGTCATTAAGTAGGATTGTAATTGCCCTATTGTGTATCTCTCAAATATCAACCTAATTTAAGCATTTTCTGAATTTATTTATAGTTCAAAATCTCTTTTATTTATTTGTTTGTTTCCTATTGTAAAAAAATTTTACTATTGAAATTTACGGATGCTGTCCAACACACATCAAAGTAGAGGTACATGTAGTGTAGACATTTAAATTGAATCTGTGCAGCTGGAATACAGACACATATAGAACAACAATTTAAATTTATAAGGGAATAAATGTGTGCTTGGCTGGTTTTATACACAATGTTTAAAACTGGTTGGAGTCTGGATGTTCGGCGAGGGTAATTATCAGCATCCAGACTCTAACGGTCTTAAACATAGTGTTTAATACCGGCCAAGCACATATTTATTTCCATTCATAAATACCTTTTCGGTCAAACAATCTAAGCTTTTCGGTCCAAAAGTCAAAACAAGCCAACAATTGTAAATTTCCAACAATTTTGTTGCACAGTTTTACTTCATGTATTTTGGGACACCCCTATAGCTATATTATGGTATGTTTCTCTCGCGAGTCGTGGTAAACAACGCCTTATATGAAGATTGGCGCGTGTCGCTCATACTGCACGATAGCTGTGTCGGTGTATTGTGAGTTTAGGACTACGAAATACTTTTTCACTGGTAGTATACCTATGTGGGGATTGTGAACATTCAACCAATAAAATGATAAAAAGCACTGGATTTCATAGGAGTCCCAACTTTAAGTGACACTGGAAAAGTGTTTAAGACCAGCCAGCAGGTCTTTATCAACAGTTTAAAACTGTTGGAATGTGTAAACTGTCTTGCATGTACATGTAGGTATTTATGAATGTCTATTAATTCATTCCCTGATGTCTCAAAATCTGCCTCAACAAAGAGGTAGTTTACTTTGCATTTCATCTTTATTGTGTTTATTTCCCGATGTAGTCAGCAGAAGGGATGATGAAGTCATTTGTGCTATTCAGTGTTTTCCCTTTGGAAGTGATTGGACATCTCACTGTTACCCAGCAGGTAAGAAGAATCACTCTATTCAATTCTGTTTTTGTTGTTTAAACCATGTAAATTACTGGATACTGGCAATAAACACCACCTTGCTGTTTAATATCAGTACTTGCAACTACAGGCTGAGACCACAAATACCAGTACAGCAGACAGCTGTCGTCAGCAGACAGCCTAAAGAGGCATCTAATGGAGCCTGCAGAGACCTTGGTCACTTTTCTCATATACAGATGTAGTATGCAGAGGATAATGTACAATGAGCCTGGCAATCTAGACAGAAAAGGGATACAACTTTTTAATTTATTTTACATTTCTTCCTTATATGATTCAGGTTTTTGGTGCAGATATTTGCAATGCAAACGTAAGCGATGGCATGTTAATCGTGATGCATAGAAATGACAGAGTGAGGATGTATAACTTGGACAAGATTATAAATGAGGTATGTCATCTTTGCCATTCAACAAGCAGTGGACATGAATAGGTATTAAGACATCATACCACTATTGCCTGACTGATCTTGCTTAACTGCTCAGATTAATATTGGAAATGAAATAATTCAACATTTATTTGTAGACTTAATTTACAGTTATATAATATTGGATGGCTTTGAGGTGGATACAAGAATATATTGCACGAGCTATGACAATATTGCACGAGTCGAAGACGAGTGTAATATTGTCATAGCAAGTGCAATATTTTCTTGAATCCACTGAAAACAAGCCATCCAATATTTTTATTATTATTTATATCAGGCTGACTTGATCCGCAAGAAGCACAATTCAAGACACTGTCTTCATTACATCTTTTTCGTTTACATCAAACGTTTTGAAGCTGCCACTGTAATGGTAAACAACAGTGCGAGTATACCTGGCCTTCAAGCGCGCGGCGTGTTCGGTGTTCGACGGTACGCGCGCGCTACGCTCTGTTGAGTGGTTAACAACTGTGACTTTCTACGCTCTTGACCAAGCGGGAACCTGCGAAAATGCCCGGATTGACTGCAATAACAATGTTATTGCAGTCAACTTTTTATGAAAGCATACAATATGCTGATTTATTTTTACCGCCGGAAGCCTGATATAAATAATAATTAAAGATACTTTAAATGCCAAAAATGCAATATTGCAATGAGCTGTGTGTTGCTCCCAAAAGCCACATACCAGCAGTACGATGGTGCCTAGAAACTGCACAATACTCTTCACTTTGCAAGATTTGAATGCTATAGTAGAAGCCAGGACTGTATATTTAAAGGCCATATCAGGGAAATGGCTATACATTTCAGACTAAAATGTATTTTGTGTTCATTTGGTATACAGAGGTATGTTTAAACATTAATCCAATATTCACCAAGTTACCATTTCATCATCCGAGTCCGACACTTAAAGATTGTACATGTATGTTTAACCTACACATTTTCCACCCAAATGGGTGTGTTATCTATTGAGCTATTTCCTTTTTGTTCATGTCTTAAAGTAAAACACATTTTTGTATTATACATAGGTTTATCACACAAAATTATTTTAAATAATCTGGAAGATAACTTGCAGGATAACAACAAATTAAGTTGGATCGTAGCATTTCTTAAAAAAACAAACACTGTTCTTGCTATTTCTGAGTTTGATATCGAGAGTTTGAAAATGAACAGAATTTGCAGAATCTGCTTCTCGAAACAGAAAAGGAATTTGAATCTGAAGACAAGAACTTCTGTAATTTTATTGATAAAAACATAACTTCGTAAAATTTCTTGAGTCCAAAACGAATTGTTGATGATTGATTGAACAGATGAGCCATATAAGAAATGAGCGTTGTTTAGATCATGATTGTTGGGGGGGACAAAAACGTTCAAGATCAGAGCAATAAATGTTACAAGATCATAACCGTAGTGACATTACCGTAGTGACAGACCAGACGCGCGCCGTAGCTGTCAGTCAGCGCACGGGTGAAAATTATCACACTCACTGCACACCCTCGCAGCTCTCTTTTGCTCCATCGGTAGGTTTATTTTTCTCCATTCTATTATCAACCTTTCGTTGACATGTAACTTTCGCTCTACTGAAATGCTTGTTGTGCTTATTCATTTATCCAGGTCCCAAAATCTACTGTAAACTATACTATTTTGTCGCCTAACTTCAGCCAGTTGATGTGTGTGACATCATGGTGTATACGGCTATTGCATGTTTCTAACTTGTGTGGTGGTGGTGGTGCAGTATTAATGACTTGACTGTGGTGAAGTTAAATAATACGTTTGTAAATAGATCGGTTGTTGATAAAAAAGCAATCTTTTTTTGGCAATTTTCCCCTGTTCCAACCAAACGATTATTTCATTATCGTCTCCATGTACATGGTACATTGAGCCTAAAACGGAAATCAGCCTAAAACAGAAATTAGGATTTTTGAAAATGGAATTTACACTTTTCTGAAATGGAAAAACATTGGCCCTAAACTGGGGCGAGTGGAAATAAGATCGATAACAAAAATTAACCTCTTAAGGACGGGGTGTAATGGGGACATTCCTCCACACATAGAGCAAGTGGCCCGCATGACTGCGCAGCCTTTGTGTGGTAGCGGGACTGCACAGAAGTAGCAGCTGTGGAACTACCCACTAGCTGTGTGCCACGGCATACCACAGCTGGCAACTGCATTCCAATGAGGATTAGCGGCCGGGGCCATGACCGCTTCCCATACGCATGGGGTTAATGAGAGAGTGAAGTCTGGTCAGACGGACTGAGGAGGGTGTTGCAATGTACACTGACTTGTACTACAACTGAACTGTGGCTCACGGCCTCAATAAATTTTTGGTCTGCCGGCCAATCCCGGGACATACCGTTATTTCGTTTTACCGTTTTGCATTTCCTCAAAACAAAAACAGTAAACAAACCATTGACCGTTCTGTCATTTTACAGTTTTGTAAAACGGTCAAACGGTATTAAGATAAATGCGGTTTCTCTGTTTTATAAGTTTAATAAAATTCATTACAGCATAACGATCAATGATTTTTGTTTTACAGTTTTACACAAATAACTTTGAAAAACAGCAAAACGGTCAGTATTGAATACAGACTGTTTTTTTTTATTTCAGTGTCATATAGTGAGCAGTCCATGGTGCATTTTGTGGTGCTGGACAAGGGGGATGGAGGGGGACCATGCTTTACATGAAAAAGTGTTACCTCGGCATAATGCGTGGTGTGATGATTCCTGGCGTGACCCTGACCCCCTCCTCACGCGATTCAGTTGGTGGGGCTTAAGAGTTGCAAGCAAAAATGGCGCTGAAAAACTTCAAGGGAGGACATTACTTTTTACAATGGATACAGGATGGTAATACGTTTGAAGAAGTTGCAGATATTTGAAGGAAATTGGAGTTCGGCGCGGCTCTTCAATAGCCAGTTCGAAAACTATGTCGTGAGAACGAAATGTGAGGAGGGTAATTTGGGTCCCAGGCAATGACTCGATCCCATGAGGACGCATTAACATTCCTAGGTGCATTGCTTAATTACCGAACCTAAATCAAAAAATGGTCGACAGGACTATTGACCGTTTTTCATTGTCATGTTCTTTAAAACAACACTCTGAAATGAAGCAACTAACCGTTTATCGCTTTCAACAATTAAGAAAAACAACAAAAAGGTCATTGTTTTTTTGTGACCTAACTACCGTTTGACCGTTTTACAAAACTGTAAAACGAAAAAACGGTCAGCGGTGCGTTTACTGTTTTTGTTTTTGAGGAAATCCAAAACGGTAAAACGAAATAACGGTATGTCCCGGGATTGCCGGCCCTGTACCTGCGGTGGCTGTATCCACTCGCCTTCTCGCTACGGGTGACGGCGACCCAACAAACTCAACTGTCACTCAAACTCTCAAATGCTTCTCTCTCGTTCAAAATTCTGCACAACAAATTTATACGTCCCTCAAACGAGCTTTCACCTGGATGTTAACATAATTTTGGTAGCAACTTCCAATAGGGCACCACAAGTGAATTACCATAAGAAGGGACATTGAATTACCATAACCATTGTCTACGATGGCATCTTACTACTAGATCGTTGAATAAAAGAGATAATTGGTGTTGCGTAATAATTAGAACGAAGTGTGTAAAGTTGCGTCGATTTTCGTGCGGGGTAAAAAGAGCGAAAAAACAATATGCACAAAAAATACTCGGAAACAAGAACAGGCATAAAAATGGAAATAATTTGACATTGTCCACTCTCCACAAAACCGAGCGGTTATCACTACTAAAATTTTGAATGGGAAAGAATATGGGTGTGAAAGCAAGATTTCTGGTTGCCTCTGTATACAAATGGTTTTATTTACAACAGACTGGATTTTTTTTTTTTTTTTTTAAATATGGAGACAGTGAAATCTATATGTGCATATTTTTAGGTGATTCAAAGAAATTGATTAGTGTGGCAAATAGCCAAAGATGGTATAGTTACAGTGTATAAAGAACGACAGTCAAAAGGGGACTGTAAGAGATCTGAAATATAATAAGATACAATAATGAATTGCCAATGAATTACTGTGAAGTAATATTTCTGATCAAAGTTTATGGGCAAAATTAATGTTAGCCTCTACAATACTGTATTGTCCCAGTAAGTTAAAACCAATTTTGAATTACCATTTCTTATTTAGTGTAAAAAAAGAGTACCTCTTCAAATACAACATCTCAATCAGCAAGGGAATGTTACTGTGTTGCCAATTTAGCAAGAATAGTCACTGCAACAGTTAACAATGCAAGAACTGCTTTTGCAATGGCATAGTATCTATGATAATGCAGTGTTCGAATGTAAAAATGTAATATTTACAGAATAATGTTATATTAAAAAATAATGCAATATGCCAGCAGCCAGTATAATCCAAGAATACATTTCTGAGTGTGTGCTGTATGTTTGGACAAAGCCAATCTTTTCTGGAAAAATTGGAGAGTCCATTACAAATACTAAATTTGAGCAGAAAATTAGCGACAATTAAGATTTGAGCGTTCTCATTTTGCAAAAGTACAAGTTAAAAAGTTTAAAGGCAAAAAACATATATACATGTAGGAAAATACACATTGTGAAAATAGTTCTTTTCCAGAGCCTCGATCCGAAAAGAATTGGAAATATGTTTGAATAATTATTTACAATAAAATCAACAAACAATTCTTCATCGCCACTATGATCAGTGAATCAGTGAATATTGATTCTCAATGTCTCAACAAAATCTGACGTAAATAAACAGCTATTATTTTGCCAAACGTACGTCACAATTACTATTGCAATTAAAAATGGAGAAAATTACAGTGACAGATTTTATAACGGCATTAACAAAGCGCGGTATTTAAAACTCGCTAGAACTTAAGTTCTATTAACTTTCAAATGCAGTGCGCAACCAATGTGGGGGCGCTGTCAGCTAAAAAAAGTTAAGTTGGCCGCGAGAGGGCACTACGTGGACATCTTTTATGCAACAAACGTACGTGTACATATTAACGGACCCGACATGCATGACATGTTGTGTTGTATAAAACAGGTATAATGGAATAAGAGTCCTGTCGAGTTAAGATCACTGAGAAAACATGACTGGTCACATATGTATTTTTTAATTGCTTTTTTTCAAACGGTACAAGAGTTATTCACGCTTGGAAGACATCAAACAACAAAATTTACCCATATTTAGTCATGGAATAATTTATTTACAAAGTGTAAATTAGTTGCATTCTGTTCTCATATGATACATTGGTGCCCACCCATTTCAAAGTTACTAATGTAGGGACCTGTCTACCCACAAGGTAGATCTGTTTTTGACCAAAAGCAACCCTGAATAACAGCCTTTCCAATAGGGTTGCAAACACCCACAAAAGAAGTTTGTTTATAAACAAGTTGAGAATTCATTAGGAGAAAAAAAGGAATTTGTGGAAGCGCATGGACATCTGTTACTGTTCAAAGAATAATTGGAATTTGTCTTTATGTTTGAATAAACTTTGATACAAAGTTTGTTTTTGAAACATGTATTCTTGGCACAAAGACTGTTACACTAAATATTGAAATTATTCCATTGTATGCTTTTACACCAAACAACAAATTGCATACTGAAATTCTCTTTTCTTATATATTAAAATGTGAACATAAAGCATAATAGATGCGAGTGTAATGAATGTTTCAAATTGCATTAAAACTCATTTTATTTGCCATTAACTAGCCCCTGGTTAAATGCATGTTTCGAAGTTTTTCCATTTTTTTTGTATGCATGTGTGTTAGCAGAATATGAAATTTCGACAGCGCCTGGGAGAAGTATCCCAAACTACCAGTACCGGTACTTGTAGTTCATCATCAGGAGCTGTGGGATCATTTCCAACAGGAATACCAGCTGATATACATATAACAGGTAATTCAAAATGACACTTCCATTTCTTGTCACAAGAATTTGTCATTGGAATCAACAGAGGGCGCACTTTCTACATTTGTGTTTGATGTGTGACATGAACATCAAAATGTTATAAATGGATATCTTCTCACTCAACAGTTTTCGTACAGTACACTTGCAGTTGTAAGTTATTGATGCACATGAATCTTGGATTATTTTGCAAAATCAAACTCAGAACACTGTTTTTTACTTTATCTGTAATTAGTTCATTAGGGAGGACAATCCCATGACGTGACAATTGCAACAACAGTTTAAAATAAAAAAGGGATCTTAACTAGACTACTCCAAAAAGTTCATTTTCAAATTTGTAGGGGTTCAAAACACATTTTCTTTCCTTCCAATTTTCCTTTGAAAGATGTACTATCTGTGCTCTTCAACAATTTTTGTTCTCTCTCGTACAGAATTTTCAATGTATGTTTTGTATTAATTTGTTTTGATTATGATGTTTTTTTGCTTTCCTCAAAGTTGCGGAAAAGCCTTTGTTTTGTTCTGATTTTTTGTGTTGCCTAAACAAAGTTTTGGAGACACTTACCAGTTCTAAATTCTGTATGTCCGCATGCTACGGATCATGTTCGTAAGGACGTATGTCCATGTGACTGTCCGTACTTACCACAGCTACTTACACCACTACTCACCCTTAAAGAAACGGTACCCAAGAAGTGAAATTCTAAAGAAAAGGGATAAAGGGACAACAATGCAAGTACCCCAGAACTCCCATCTGCTTAAAGTTTGGAAAAAAAAGTGTATAACTTCTACATGCTTTTTGCTTTCATGGATTTTGATGAAACTTGGATGCAGTGATCCTTGGGTGAGAAGACACAATTCTTCATCGATTACTGAGGTCAACGGTCATGTAGGGGTCTATAGAGGTCATTGTTCAAATATGCTAAAAATGCATAATGTCTTCATACTTTCGTGATGGAGTGATCCTTGGGTGGGGGATCATCACAACTCTTTCAAAATTGGAGGTCAAATGTCATGTAGGGGTCATTTGAGGTTTAAAGGGATATACATTATTGGCTTTTGTTGTAATTTTCAGAAATGAACTATTTGAGGGGTTAGTATAATATATCAAATATTGTTTCACTGACATGTTTGAAGTTTTGTGTTCGAAAATGCTGGAAAATCCAAGAAACACAAAACTGTTCAAGTAGTCTGGCTCCACTAAATATAAAATGGATCAATTTACAGATGGCAGAAAATTGTAAGGTAAGGGTACCAGTCTAGCTGGCCTGCACCCGTTCATGAACATGTAACCAATAGCAAACAAAATTTGGACTGAATTTAATGGTAAATTTGGAGCAGTAGTTGAAAAATAGTTAGGGTTTTCCAACAGTGGTCGGCCGACCACCGCTGGAAATTTTTACAAAAATACCATTTTCTTGAAAATGACTTGACACCAGGTGCCGTAATTTTACAGGATGCTTTAGACTGTCATTTACCAACATCCTATCAAGGTATTTCGTAAAAACTTGGTAGTTTTATTTTTCGATGTTTGCAAATGTTGTATATTCCCTTTAAAAAGAATCAAAATTGACTTTTTGTAAAAACACAAATCATATAGGGATCAACACCGCAGGAAAAAGGGACACAGCGGTCCGCGGACCACTTGTTTATTAACTGTTAAACTTTTTACATTTTCTTCTACTTGCAAAGTATGACATACAATACAATTAGATTGACTTCAAACTAGGCACAGACAAACATTTACATTTACATTTACTTTATTTCTCGGGGTAAACAATAAAAAACAAGACAAACAAATTAAAGGACAACAACAGAAAACAAAAAGAACCTAACAGCTCCCGAAGGATCACCCAAAAGAGACAAAGTCTCTGTTGAGGGGCTCTCCTGACTAAATGGTTCACACACAAAAATATGAATTAAATTGAATTAAATTAAATTAAATTAAATTAAATAAAACAAATCTTCAAAGAAACCTTAAAAAGAAACTGACTACGTGTATTAAAATTAATTTAAATGTAAGGAAATAATATTAAATTAAATTATACTAAATTAAATTAAATTTTACCTCGTAATCACATCGTCACACTTGAGAGAGCTCATTATTTTAACAAAAGAGCGCACCCCTATATAACGGTGCCCTGGCACATATGCCTCAGTGCATTTTTGTGACCGGTACCTATCGCCCAAGAAGTCTTCAGAGCCCACACTACTCGATCTGCTCACTTTGGACAGAGAGCAAACCCTGACACAACTGACCCAGGTCCGTCTACTTCAGGCTCCATCGCTGCTGGCAAGCCGCTGACGTCAACTTCCTCAGTGAAGCCAAAGAAGAGAACTGCAAAAACAACCAATGTTGTTAGTCAATAAGAATTCTCGGCTATGCAGGACAGAATGGCAGTATTCGCCGAGGCTATGCAGACACTGCAATCAACAGTGGTGTCTGCCTTCGACAACAGACCAGTGAAACTTCAGAAAAATGACCAAATGGTCTCCTCAAGCGACTATTAAATGGAAAATGCAAACAAAAACCAAAAGGCTCTCATTACAAAGCTCTGTGAGTCTGTAGTTATAATTGGTTACGCAAGATATAAGCTTAATCTACGTTGCCGAGAATTCATTAAGCCTGACCTGAATCGGCAGTTCGCTAGTCTCTGTTCCACAAAGAGGACCGTAACTGGGCTTTTGTTTGGTGATAATCTCTCACAACAATGCAAAGACATTTAGGAGACAAACAAGCTGGGCCAAAAATTTGGCAAGCATGCAGGTTCTTTTTCCAACCTGAAACAGGGTTATGGAAAGCAGCACAACAGACGGGATGCCAAGTTGCCCCGCCCATCAGGTCAAAACCAACAGGGTTATTTAAACTCCTGGCACCCGAGGGCGTGGCAGAAGAAAAAACCCACAGACGGGCGGCAATCCATTGCGACCCAACCTAATGGTGAGTGAGCACAAATGTGATTTTATCGCTCAAAGTCCACTTCTGGGACTCTCTTACCTGTTAAACCTTACATTTGCATATTTCTCTAGCCTAAGGCTCCCAATCGCTAGCGTTTTATACCACAGTAAATAGCACCCTCAGCACCCAAGCCCTCAGTACCCGCATCAGTCTCTGGTACCCCTCCTCTTTTTCTCTAGCGCTCACACGAGTGAGACGTAGAATTTTCATGCTCCTGAAGGACTTGCATTTTCCTTCCTTGTATTGCTAAGTGTTGATTATAGTAACATTAGTTGTACACAAAGTGTGTGTCGTCTTTTTCTTAATTGGTGAAGTAGTTGTTTTGTTTCGTTGTAACTTATAGAATACATCATGGCGGAGTCACGCATGACTAAGCACGGCACTCCTCCCCCCCCCTTGTTTTTTATGTGCAGCGCATTAAACCCAGGGCACGTTTAGACACTCAATATTTATGCCCATGGTGTCGTTCATGTACCCCACAAACACCTGCAAGGTCTGCCGTTCGTGGGGAGATGACGAATGGGATGCAGTTTTGGCTTGGCTCAATTCTCCGTTGCCATCAGTGGACTCTGCAGTGAGTAATTCTCCCGAGTCATCACAACGCAAACGATCGACCCAAAAAAAATTGGGTACACCTAAGTCGCTTACCGGCGACGCTTTCCGGGCCTCTGGCCCCTGGTAAGAATACCCAACACGCTGGGGCTAGCGGCGCCTTCCCGGCCCCCAGTTCCCATGTGTAATTCACTCATGTACTGGAGACACGCTTTCTGGGCCTCCGGTACACCGGGCGCAGGGAATAGGGCTATGCCTGTTGGGCCTCTAGCCCCTACTCCCGGTAAAAAGAAAAGCAAAAAATCGGACCACGCCGGGTCCGGAGATATGCCTTCCGGGCCTCTAGCCTCCGGTGCCCCGGAGAGGGATAAGAGGGTGGCTCCTTCCGGACCCCTAGTCCCAACTTCCGGTAAAGCGTGTGGTAAGAAAGTTGGCCGACCCGGGGACGAGCAGACGTCCTCCAGGCCCTTGGCCGGAAATACTGCGCCAGAACGAGATGACCCAGATCATTTCCGGGATAACTCGGAAAATTTCCGGGATAACCGGGATAACCCCCGGGATACAGATCCGACCGGATGGAAACCGGGTCATCCAGGACTCACTGGAGCCGGAGAGATACGGCTTATAAGGGTAAGCATCCCCATCACAAGAAACCCCGGTGCCGTTATTATAGCTCCAGTTCCTCTTCAGCAGAGTCCATCTCAAGCTATTCTTCGGGCTCCAGACGTTCGCGTCGCTGGAGCTCTCGATCCGACACCATAAAACATATGCTTTTACAGGGTTTCCAGCAGTTATCGGCCACAAAAGCATTTTTGTTCAGTCAGCGAACCTATTACTGTTGGACCTTCACAAGACCATTCGGCGTCCGAGTCAGGTGATCAGATGTCAGTTTTTCCCTCCGATAATTTATCTTGGGATTCTGACAACCGTCTACGCCCCCATGCAGCCGTAGACATACAAATGGGTTCAGCTGAGGGTCAGAAAGATCAACCCACTGAGCACGAGTGCCGCAGGGAAGGGCGAAATGCCCAAACTCCCCAAAGCCGTCTCATCCAATGACAAGTCTGCCATTTCATTACCTCTTTCCGCCTCTGACCAAAGGTTACGGGTGTTGATGAAAGTTATGGTCAGAGTGCTCAACATATCGCCAGCTGATGAACCAGTACCAGATGAAAGTGGCCGCCGATCCTATAAAAAACGTATGACTCCCGGACTCAGGATTTCCCGGTCTTTCTGATCGATTGATCTTGTGCCGATTGGATCAAGACTCTAGCGGCAGTAAAGAAATGGCGCCCTCTTGCGACAAGAGGTACGTGGCCATTTCGTGTACCGCGGTCTGATTTTTAGGAATTTCTTTCAGTCCCGGCTATGTCAGATACGGTCAGAGATAAAATCACGGCTGACTACTGGCCGTACGTCACGTAAATCTCCATTTGTCAGCCGTGAAAGAAATAAAATGGAGGATACTCTTTCAAAAGTTGACACAGCATCCCGAGCATCACGATTGTCTCCGTATTTGCATGGACCAGTTTGTTCGAGTTTCCATGTGTGCTACTGCAGCTCGTAGGGCCAAAGTTCTGGATGCCATTTTTCTACCATGTTAGGGAGCAAGGGCACGCCTTGAATCACTTCCCCTTTTGGGAACAGATTTGTTCAATGGGAAGTTTCAAGAGGCCATAGAGGCGGAGGCCAAACGTTTCGAGGCTACAGACAAAAGAAATCTGCGAAAGCCTACAACCGCAAGCACCACATCTGTTAAGGGGAATGAACAGCCTGCTAGTACTAGTAACCAGCAGTTTCCCTGTAAGCCTTTGAAGCCCTTTCTTTGGCGTGGCCGGGCCTTCACATCCGAACCTTGTCCACAGGATAAACCAAATCCATCCAGTACATCCATCTCCGGTTCGCGAGAATGCACCTTTCGACCCTCATACACTCCCTGGCCTAAGACAAGTTATGGAGGCTACCGCGACTTTTTCTTCCTGCCAAAATAGCCCCAGCCATGGCATGGTTACGTTTTCTGGGGCTCATGGCCATATGAGCCCCTTGCTAATGCCTCTCTGCTCCACTTGACATTAAAAACAGTTTTCCTGATAGCAGCGGCTACCGCCAGGAGACGCAGTGAGTTGCATGCCCTTACCATAGAACAGGGTCATGTACGATGGGAACCACATGGAGTTTGACTGATCCCTGATAAAATGTTCCTGGCAATGAATCAGTCATCAACTTTCCAACCATCTGATATTTTTATTCCGGAGATAAAATCCATCTCTTCCATCCCAGATGACAAACTTTGGTGTCCGGTTCGGACCCTCAAGTGGTATTGCTCCCGAACTAAGCCCCTAAGGGGCAAGACCACCCATCTGTTCATTACGACAACTCAGCCTTACTCAGGGGCATCACGGGACACGATCTCCCAATGGATAGTTAGGACAATCAACTCTTCTGTACCAGATTGGCCTACACATTCAGAGAACACTGCCCATGCTCATGACACTAGAGCATTAATGACATCATGGGCATTTTGAAAGGCGTTTCTCTGCCAAACATTCTACAGGCGGCTGCTTGGAAAACCCCATCAACCTTCATTTTGTGCTACCTGAAGGACATTTCATGTTCAGAAGGCCAAACGGTACAAGTAGCCCTTTCGGCTGCCATGGCATCTCATCCCAACCGTCAGGACAGGTTGACTGTCTCTAACACCTAGTCGACTGGAACTCCATATACATGTAGTAGGTGAGTTCCTTTTCACATATGTACATGTACTTTGGTGATGTTTACCTTTCAATTTTGGTGAGGACATGAGGGGACATACCAATCTAATCCAGGTAGTGCTTAGAACAGTAGTACCTATGGCAGCCTCGCCCTAGCCCTCCTCCTATAGACGGTGCTAATCTATGCAAATGTAAGGTTTAACAGGTAAGAGAGTCCCAGAAGTGGACTCCCCAAATCAAAGGTGATTTGTGAGTCCATGAGGGGACGATACTTACCTGATACTTACCTCCCACCCTCCTTCCCCACTTGGGCTCAGCTGGCAGGGATTACTAAGTGCTCGCAATAGAGATAAAGAGGACAAGGGTACCAGAGTGATGCGGGTACTGAGGGCGCTATTTACTGTGGTATAAAACGCTAGCGATTGGGAGCCTTAGGCTAGAGAAATATGCAAATGTAAGGTTTAACAGGTAAGAGAGTCCCGTTTTGGACCCACAAATCACCTTTGATTTGGGGGAATCCAATGGCAGGGTTGTTTGTGGCAGGTAGACTAGCATACTTTATGGCCAAATGGCGTGAGCTTACGTCCGACATATGGGTTTTTAGACACAGTAAACATTCCCATATCAAATTTGCCAAATGGCCTATTCAAGCGCATATCCCTACAGATATATGTTTTTCTGATCATGAATTTTCCATGATAACTGAAGAACTTGCAAAAATGCCCCAAAAGGGAGCTATTGTTCAGAAATCGCACACAGATGGGGAATTTGTGTCAAACATCTTTCTCAGACCTAAAAAAGATGGGTCGTTTCGCCCCATTATAAATTTATGGGGCTTAAATGCGTTTGATGCTTACTACCATTTTAAAATGGAAACTATTTGCAACCCAAATTCAGGTCATCAGAGCAAATGATTACATGGCATTTATTGATCTTAAAGATGCATACTTTGCAGTTCCAATTGCCAAAGAGCATAGGAACTTCTTGTACTTTATTTGGCAAGATAAAGTATACGAGTTTACCTGCCTGCCTTTTGGCCTAGCGTGTGCCCCTCGGGTCTTCACAAAAGTGATGAAACCAATGATAGCAAATGCGGCACGAATCATGTGACTACATTGATGACTCGTTACTTGTCGGGCGAATAGCCCAAGAATGTGTTGATAATGTACACGCAAGAATAACCCTTACTCAAGCCTGGGGTTACGATTAATGCTAAGAAATCAATCTTGACACCAACCCAGGAAATTGTTTTCCTCGGATTTAACCTAAATTCTGTAAACATGACCATCTCAATACCTGCGATCAAAGTTGAGCATACCCTTGCGGCAATCAGAAAGCTTCTTTAGATGAAAATTTGGGATGTTGCTAGCATTATTGGCCTGTTGGTTTCATGTGAACTAGCAGTTCCATATGGTCCAATGCCTGATTATGTAATTGAAACTGATGCCTCAATGGAAGGCTGGGGTGCCCATTGTAATGGCCGCACTACTTGGGGTCAATGGTCCCACCAGGAAGGCGTTCATCATATCAACTATCTTGAACTTGAAGCTTGCTTCCTTGCTCTTCAATCATTCTTTTCGAGCCACGGCAGAATTGTAATTCAATTAAAATCAGACAATGCCACAACAGTAGCTTATTTGAAGCATTTTGGCGGTTCAAAATCAGAATTGCTATTATCCAGGGAAATTTGGTCATGGTGCAATGAAATGTAACATTGGCTTACAGTATCACACCTCCCGGGCTCACAGAACATTGTAGCCGACTATGCGTCTCGACATTTCAGGCACAATTTGGAATGAAAATTAGATCCTTATGTCTTTCAAAGACTAATGGAAATTATTCTCATGACAGATGTTGATTAATTCGCATCTCGACTTAACCATCAAGTGAGTTCATATATATGCATCTTGGCAAGCAGACCCATCATGTGCGCGCATATAGACACATTCACTATTGACTGGTCTGCCTGTGCAAGTTTTTATGCATTCCCGCCATTTAGCCTGATTGACAGATAATTTGACAAAAATTGAGCATGACAAAGCAAAGGGTATTGTTGTTTTACCTTTGTGGCATACATAACAATGGTTCCCTAAAATGCTGAAATTGCTTGTACAGAAACCTTGCATTTTACCCGCTCGACCTGACTTGCTTTCCCTTCTATTTTCAGACAGACTTCATCCCTTACGGGATCGTCTAAGGCTGATGGCCTGCCTCTTATCGGGGAAACACTCCGAGAACTAGAAGTTTCAAGACAAGCTGCCCAGATCGTCCTTGCATCCTGGCGAACGTCCACCAGGAAATGCTACAGGTCAGCATTACGGAAGTGGCTTTACTTCTGTTGTCAGACAAGGACTGATCCTATTCGACCAAATGTAACTACAGTGGTTGACTTTCTTGCCGCAGAATTTCAAAAAGGCAGTGAATACAGCAGCCTCAACACACTGTGGAGTACTATATTGGCGGTAACCCTACCAATAGAGGGCGTGACCATGGGTTCACACCCGCTCATCAAAAGGCTATTGACAGGTGCATTTAACCTTAGACCACCAATACCGCGGCACTCACAGATGTGGGATGTGACTAAGGGAATAAATGTGTGTTTGGGTAACACTCTGTTTAAGACCGGTTTGAGTCTGGGTGCATGATAATTATTTTGCATGAGCAATTATCACCCATCCAGACTCCAACTGGTCCTAAACAGAGTGTGTAATACCGACCAAGCACATATTTATTCCCATTCATAAATACCTTTTTGGTCAAAAAACCAAAACAAGTAAAAACTAGACGTTGCCAACCATTTTGTTCAACAACATGTTTTATAAAACACCCCTCTGACTTTAATATGGAACGTCCCTCTACAACTCCTTACCTTAAAAGGAGATTGGCGCGTGCGTCCCACGTGTCGCGCAGAATGCACCTAGGGCATTGCATTGTGAATTTAGGACTATAAAATACTGACTCACTGGTAGTATTGGGCATGCCTACGTGAGGATTGTGAACGTTCAACCAATAAAACGGTAAGGGGCACTGGATTTTTAGGAGTCCAAATTTCATGTGACACTGGAAAAGCGTTTAAGACCAGCTAGCCATGTCTTTATCATCCATTTAAGACCGGCCACGTGACGGGCTTTCGACCAATAGGAATGGGTAAACTGTCTTAAACCTAACTCCCTAGGCCTTTTTGCTAGGATGTAGTCTCAATCCTTCAAAATCCTCCAATTGGCCCCATGGAAAAATAGCATATAGCCTCAATCCTGCAAATTCCTCCGTTATTTCTTGAACGTGGTCCATGGAGGGGTGACCACTGCCTGAATCCTCCAAAATCCTCCGGCTATGACTGTCAATAGGCTGAGGCAGAGGCAGTGACATCCTGGAGCAGTACGGAGGTTGTCAAGTATAATCAAGGACTAAATTTATGCACGGATGAGCATAAACAACACAAGGTCCGGCCCAAGACCTTGACACAGTGCGTACTCCGAAATCAGCAACGCACTTTTGCCATGTAACCTCAATCCTGCAAATTCCTCCAATTTGCAAAAAGGATTTTGGAGGATTCAGGGCGGTTAGGGTTAATTATTTATGAATATTGTTTTACATCACATTCAATCTCTTGGACCTAACAAGGGTCTTTCAATTAAAGACCTTACAATGAAACTGATTATGCTGATTGCCTTAATATCCGGGCAACGCTGTCAAACTTTAGCATTCATTTATGTGGATTATGCTGATGTTACTACCACTGACGTTACATTTGTAATTGAAAACTTCCTAAAACAAGTAAAGTTGGCAAGCCTCATGTCAGTATGTCTCTTACATCATACCCCCATGATGTTTCACTTCGTGTTGTTAATGTTTTAAAACATATCTCCACAGGTATGGAGTGCCATTAGACACAATTATGAAAACTGATGGGTGGTCAAAATGCTCCACCTCTGCCAAGTATTATAAAAGTATTGTTGGAAATTCCGCTTTTGCTGATGCGGTTCTTGGCAAGAATTAGCTAGAACTTAATGTTGTATTAATGCCACCTTAAGACCGCTGCTTAAACTTCAACTTAGATTTATGTATACAGGCATGCAATTTTTCCTCGGATCCGCTGATTTCCTCGTTTTTTACTTCTCATGAATGCCATTACAAATTGAAAAACAGTGTACAAAATGTTGTGTGGTTTGGAGTTTCCTCGTTTTTTTTCTAAATTCTCAGTTGCAAGCCTGTGATACAGTCTACTGAAAATACAGTAAAGAACATAACTTTAATTTGTATTAATGCCATGTAAGGACCGGCGCTCTAACTTCAACTTATGTATAAAATGTTCAAAATTGAACTACTGTCCTGATCATACAGGAAGTGCCATAAATATGCATGTTTATGATGAATAAAATATCGGGTGGAAAATGTCATTTGAAGTCTATGTACTTGCTGAAAGTTGTACACATGTATTTTGGTGAACATGTACTTGCTGTCCCTTACTTCTGGATTTGCAGTCAGAGTTGCTCCAAACATTACACGTAAGGCCGAGGTGCTATGTGGTGATGAGGTAGAAATAAAAAATTTAACGAAATGAAATGAAATGAAATTGAAGTTAAATTGTAATTGTACCGAGTCACCACTAGCACTGAAGGACTTACGTTTCCTCCCAAGTCATAAATGACAGAAATATGTTAGAGCATTTGACTCTGATACCTCTCGTTAGCTGACTGCAAACGTTCCATGTACAAAAATGCCCTGAGGCGTATGTGCCGGGGCACCGTTATGTAGGGGCGTGCTCTTTTGATAAAATAATGAGCTCTGTCAAGTGTGACGATAGAATACCGGTGGCAGGTGCAATCTCCTTCAGTGCTAGTGGTGACTCGGTAGAATAACAATTAAACTTCAATTTGATTTCAGTTCGTTTAATTTTTGAATTAAATTACATTAAATTAGAGTAAATTAAATCAAAAGACCCCAAGGTTAACTTTGGCCTAGACAAGTAATGTCATGATGACTTCAACAGTGGTCATCTTGAAGGTGTATATTTAATTTTAAGACATTAAAACTGTACATCCGATTGGGTTGGAACTTGGTATGTACATAGACAGGGACTTGTTACCGACAAAAAAAATTAGTGACATCATGATGACGTCATCATGGGTTGTGAGGCGTCATCTTAAAGCATATGGAGAATCTCGGTAATGGAACAATGTTTTGCATATAATTTTCCTGACTGCATATGAACGAAAACACAGCGTTTATATACTCATAAAAAAAAAATAAGGAAAAGCCCTATGTTCTATTCATAGAACAGACAGCGTTCTGTATTGGTTTTTTTTTCTTTTTTTGAAAAACAAAATTGTTTCATGCAGATAACATTTAATACTATGAATGCTAGTCTTATTTCAAGGCTGGTATTTTTTATTGGCGATACTATTTGCACGTAATTTGCATTTAACAAAATACTGCAATTGCTCATTTTTTTATACTCCACTGAGTCGTAGCAGCGTGTAGAGATGACTAGTCTCAAGTAATTAATTAACCCTGCTGAATCCAACAGGATCGAACTATATCATAAACACATAAGAACCTGTTGGATTAAAGCCGGAGTCCATCATTTGCAGCTATCCAAAAAAGTAACTGGCGTAATTATTGTTGAACAACATACTGGTTGAAAGATAGTAAGGGGACTAAACTCCCTGTGAAATTATTCTTTCTGGCAAGCTCTCATTTTGAAGAAATCAACGAAAGAAGGCATTTCCAACGGTGCATCTTAAGTAGCACCGTAGGCAAATTTAAATTAGTAGTTCGTTTTGTTATTTGGCGCAGCGCGCGTAAGCATTGGCTCGACGCACAGGCGCGCGCGGTTGCTATAATTCGTCGGATCAGTGCGCGACATCGCGTAAAGCTGCAATTCAAAACAATTCAAAACATGATTTAGCAACTTTTGCTTTGAAATTGAGATCCTAGAATGCTGTTTTTCTCAGAATATACAGCTGAAACTTCATCATTAGATTTTGAACACTTTTGTTGCTTCAAACGAACAAAATGCACAAATTACAAATGATGGACTATGTCTTTAAGCTGTAAACCCCTTGTAAAAATGTACATGTACATATTCAGAGTCGGATTCTGTTGGGTACTGATAAATAACATTAAGTTGGATCCAGCAGACAACTAAAAATTAGGCACAGTTGGATTCTGTTGGATTGAGCAGGGTATAGTCCTCATCATATTATGGATTTCATTCATTTAGGACTTGGGTATTCCAAAACAGCATATGAATTGCGGAACTTTGTTCGTACATGAAATTGAACATTAACATGATTGCACCTTTCATGATTGCAGGATAAACTTTTTTAACAAGTGTAAAAGTGCGGAAAAACCCTATGTTCTGTTGATCAAACAGACAGACCTCTAGCTCTTTCTTTTTGGCTGTTTCGGCACTTTTGCCGAAACAGCCTTTGTTTTCGTTAAGATTTTTTGGCTGTTTCGGCACTTTTGCCGAAACAGCCTTTGTTTTCGTTAAGATTTTTTTTTTTTTTTTTTTTTTTTTTTCTTTTTCAGTCATTTTGCCCATAGCATTTGTACACGTTTTTTTGTTACCGGCACTCTGGGCACTAAAATCAATCCCATTGACTTTATACTTGGCACACACTTAGACCAGCATCTGAAGTTGTGTGCCGAACATTGACATCATCGTGACGTCATCATGAGTCACGTGACGTCACATTATATGCGATTTTTCTGTTGTGACCATTTTCTAGCAGAATTCGGCTAGATCTGACAGATTGGGCTATATCTCTAGAACTACATGTCCGATTAGGTTGAAAGTTGGTATGGACCTAAACCGGAATGTGTTATAGATGAAAATTGAAGTGACGTCACGATGACGTCATTACGTGACATGTGACGTCACAATATAGGTGCATATTTTGAAGGCCTATATCTCCATGACTACAGGTCCGATTGGGTTGAAACTTGGTATGTACCTATAAACCGGGATGTGTTATAGATGAAAATTTAAGTGACGTTACGATGACGTCATCACGTGAAGTGACGTCGTCACGTGACATGTGACGTCATATTAAAAATTGCACATTTTGAAGGCCAATATCTACAGAACCACAGGTCTGATTGGGTTGAAACTTGGTATGCACCTACATGTAAACTGGGATGTGTTTTAGATGAAAATTTAAGTGACGTCATGATTTAGTCATCACGTGACATGTGACGTCATATCAAATGTGCATATTTTCAAGGCCAATATCTACAGAACTACAGGTCTGATTGGGTGAAACTTGGTATGTACTTAAACCGGAATGTGTTATAGATGAAAATTGAAGTGACGTCATGATGACATCATCATGTGACGTGACGTCATACTAAACGTGCATATTTTGAAGGCCAATATCTACAGAACCACTGGTCCGATTGGATTGAAAGTTGGTATGTACCTAGACCGGGATGTGTTATAGATGAAAATTGAAGTGACGTCATGATGACGTCATCATGGGTTAGGTGACGTCTCGTTAAAGATTAGTAGATTTAATCTTTAAAAATCAATATAAAATCAACCGTGAGAGACCTGAACATGATTTTTGCGGGAATTGATAGAATTATCGAGGGTCTTCATTTTTTTAAATATGTGCAAAATCACGTGACCATTTCTTCTGGTTGAAACCGGAAGTGCCTTGTAACTTAAAATTGGTGAAAGATGTGAACTTGCTTTCAACGTTGTATGCTCTGGCTAAGTTCTTCTTT